AGAGTATGCAAAGCCTGAGATTGTGACAGCTGCAAGAGTCCAGTACTGATGACATTCATCTCATTTCTTTTTTCAAAGTAGAGCTGGTCCCATAATGTCAATTGCTGATGACTGGCGACATATGGCCGCATCACATGCCCCCCCTGCCCACAACACTAATATACAAGCCATGTACACACGTTCCTGTGACACACTAAAAGTAGTGGGTGTGTCCCAGCATATGTCTGCTACTGGACGTTGCAGGCATCTGATCAGAACAGTTTGTGTGCGCCTTTTTGTGTGTGACATACTGTATATTCAGAGTGCGACATATGCTTGGAAAATACATGTGTCAGCAAGTGTTGGGCATGCATGTGAATGACGTATGTCCATGCATAGCCTACTGTGTTTACATGCCCCTGTTTTTCTCAGTGTGTGCATGTGTGCGAATGTGTATGTCGAGAGCAAGCCTGTGTGTGTAATAATCCGGACTGGGCAGCTGCGCTCATTCGTATTCAGCCCTAAGGCACTTCTAGGCCGTCTCGCTGATTAGGGATCAGAGACAGGCAGAGAGAGAAGAGGTAGAGAGTGAAGAAGAGAGAGAGGGTGAGAGACAAAGAGAGAGAATTGGAGACAAAGCAGGAGAGAGAGGTCTTCTCCCGTTTAGTAAACAGTTGGTTAATGACTCTAATCCCATTAAGCAGGGGGAGCAGCTTGCCCCCTCACATAACATACATTAATATGTATGTGTAAGTGTCTGTTTGTGATGTACATTCTCTCTCTCTTTCACACACATACGCCATATATTATAAGGAAATTGATTTGCCCTCATAAACATTCGATAAAGTCCTAATGTAACACTGTGAGCTGTTAAGGAGGCTCGGAGAGCAGACCTGTGAAAATGACATGTAAATCAAATGAGCATTGTATATTTTCAGGCACGATTTGCCAACAATTATTGTTTTGACCTGGCTCCTCAGTTGACAAAAGAAACCTGCTCCCTCTGAGGAGCAGGAAATCAGCTTTTCAAGTGCTCTTGTGTTTGAAGAGTGGAGGGCAAGGCAAGGCGTGATTGCTGCACTCTGCAGAGAGGATCAGACATGGGGTGATTTCATAGAAGCAGAGCGAAAGCAGTGAAGGCACTTAACTCAGTGTTTACTCTACTAACTTGTGCTGATCTGTAGAGAACAATGATAAAGAAAACTCCCTCTCTTTCATATATTAAACAGCTAATAAAAAACAATTCAGCATAAAGCTTGTGCGTTTTACCTCATACGGTATATAATGTCTGGATGGCAAAATAAACAAGTGCCTGGTGCAGGAGTTGTTAACCCATCAGTTAATTAATCCATCTGAGCACATGAATACAATCACGGATTATTTTGTCCATACAAGGACACGATATTCTTTCAAGGGGCCTGCATTTCATAGCTAAGTCGCAGCCATGTTTCTGAACAGCATTACTCTCTCATTGTGATTAATTTTGCACTCTGCAGTCATTCAGTAGAGAAGCAGTTACGGCGTCCTGGGAGCGGCTCTCGGGCAATGTTGAGCAATTACTTCTCGTCTAGCACAGAGAGAAGTAAGCAATATATAGCACGATATTGTATACAGTCTGGCTGTGGCCTGAAAACATTAAGTCATATTATAATCCTCAAGACACACAAGTTTAGGCCTGGTCTGCAAGCCACTGCCGGGCTCTTTTCAACTGCTGCTGGTGCTGATACTGAAGTGGAGAACACTTACACTCTATACTGTAGCCTCCAGAAGAACCATTTACACCAGCACTTTTTCAATCTCTCATCAATCTCTTATCTCTCTATGTTTTCCCTTAATAATACTTAATTTGAGGTCAAATTAATAATAACAATAATACACCATTGTTTGATAGCTCAGACAAAAAAAAAATACTTAAAGACGCTATGCTAACTCACTGTTGATGTTGTGCAAACTGTGAACTGTTCTGAGTTTAAAAACATCAACAGCTGGGAGGAAATTTTCTTCTAACTTCCTTCAAAGCAATAAAGCTTATATCATTATGTATATAATATATAACATGAACATTTATATAATAAAGGTTATATGATACAGGGTTCAGGCTGCCAAAAAAAGGGTTAGGGCTAATTTCATGTTTTTATTTGCACTCAATTAATTATGGTACCTCAGCATGCACCTAACCCAGAACCTGTGTGAATATGATGGGATTCTATGTTAACTCAGGTAAGTAACTGGGCTTTCCATCAATATGAAAGCTATATTCAACAAATAATTGTACTTGCAGAGTCTTCTTTTGTATGTAAGATTGAATGTTTAATCTATTTAAACCTACTACAATGACTTTTTTTTACCGACTATGAAATGTAATATTGATTCCATATGACCCACACAAACACACCAGACCGTCATTGAGAGGATTTGCTATTTCTATTTAGTTATTCTTAATGCCTGCCACCGTGTTGGATTCCCCTTGAAATCAATGGAACAAGGCGTGGAAACAGCCAGAATCAACAACAAAAAATTAAGTTGTCTGTTGCTACTTTGATGTACTTAAAAGCTGATTCAGTCATAACATGGTGACCATCTGGGCACACTGGTGGTCATAATGTTATGCAGCCCCATTCACAACCAAACTGTGATGCACTGTGTGTTCTGACACCTTTCTATCAGAACCAGCATTAACTTTCAGCAATTTGAGCTACAGTAGCTCGTCTGTTGCATCAGTGAGCCTTGGCCGCCCATGACCATTTTGGATAGGTACTAACCACTGCAGACTGGGAACCCCACAAGAGCTGCAGTTTTGGAGATGCTCTGACAGTCTAGCCATCACAGTTTGGCCCTTGTCAAAGTCGCTCAAATTCTCACGCTGCCCATTTTTCCTGCTTCTAACACATCAACTTTGAGGACAAAATGTTCACTTGCTGCCTGATATATCCCACCCACTGACAGGAGCCACAAGAACCTAATCAGTGTTATTCACCTGTCAGTGCTCATAATGTTATGGCTGATCGGTGTAATTAGACACATTCTTTTAATTGTTCGTTGGGCAGAGGTATTATGGTATGAAGTATGTACAGTACAGAGTACTTTCAAAGGCAGCTTTCCTCATATGCACTTGACTTATTATGGTTCTCTAAAATGTAATCTAACCTCCAGCAGGAACATTTAGTTCCAGTATGAAGTTTAATAACATACTTACTAAATGATAACATACTAAATTATTGATGATATACTTTAAGTGTTCTGAACTATTTAATAACAAACAGACACACAGGCTCCAACATGATGACATCATGCTCAGCATACTATATGAAAAGGAAGGACATATAAAAATGAGTTGTTTGATGTTTGCACTTTAAAATACATATGTATGTCACACATGCATGCTGTTAAAAAGCAGAAAATGGTTGTCATCAGTAGGCTTCAAAGACAAGTGGAGGCTTTATGTTCAAATTGTTGCCATGAAGAAAACCGAGCCATTTATAAATCACATTGACGGGTTTGGCCCTATTACCTGCAGCATTATACTTATTTTAGTTGTTGGGTGCCATGTGGGTGGGAGCTTTAAATGTTTGGGCGCAGATCGACTCAAGCTCCTCATTAGTTCGCCTGAAGAGCATGTGGACGGAGCCTGTTGTTGACGGGCAATGGAGGTTGGTGCCAAATAATGTTATTCCAATGTGCAAAGAAAGCTTTTGTTCACCTTTACATGTAAAGGAAAAAAACTGACGAAGTGAGGCAGGGCTAAAGTACAGCAAATGATACTTAAACCCAAAATAGGACATTCCTCAAAAAGACACCTATAATAGTTTACAAAGAGGCTTATCTGATTGTGATTGTGATCTGATTTAAACATAGATTTGGTGGTTTAAATAATACTTTTGCAAATACCTTTATCTGTTATTCATTATGCTCACATTCTTACATTCAAACAAAATATGATTCTCATCTCCTAAACCTAACTTTCCAACCTGGGGGTCACCAAAACTACCTGGGAGGTCGCAAGGCCTTATTGATTTTCAGAGGTGAAGGACACTTTTAAAATGTATACACTAGACCTTTATCTCAGTATTTTGTTCATTTATGTGAAGAAAACTAAATACCCATTTATTACATACGTGTTTATTACATACACAACTATTTGAGATCTAAACTTTGAAGATCTGAACACAAGCTATATTCACAGAGCCTTCGCTCTCCGATAAACAGCTTCGTCCTGCATTAGAAAGGTTCAAACAACCAAGGATAGAACAATTAGAAGAAAACATGAATTTGTCAAATAAACTATTAAGTAAAATGCATAATACAGACAGAGAATGGTATAACAATTCCTAAAAATATCAGAAAAACCAATATCTGATCAAGAATCTCCTCACAAATGTCCACTCCATTTTCCGGAGATGAAGATCCACAAGAAATATTACATTACCAAGTTTGGGTCATGGTGGGTCACTACCTTCTCCTCAGGTTCCCAGGTGGGATGGGAAATAAAATAGTATGCAGTAATCCCTCCAATGGTCTGCCCTGGTCTCCTCCCAGTTGAATATGCCATTAACAATGTCTCAGTTCCAAGTGTCGCAATGACAGGGACCTGGAACTGTCAAAAACTAGATGAGGTGCAGCCACTATAACAGTAGTAGTAGTTAGTTTTATTATTTACACATGTCCTCTTACACAGCACGTCAATATGTAAAAAAATATTATTCTACATTCTGTGTATCATATGTATTGGCTTAACCATTAAACAAAGTCTGGACAGTTTCCTTGCTCTCCCTCGCTCTCTCTCTCTCTCTCTCTCTCTCACACACACACACACACACACACACACACACACACACACACACACACACACACACACACACAAACAGTATTAAAACAATCAACACTTGATTTTTTTTTTTTTACTGTTTACAATACGTCAGAGGAGAGGTGTGACTGACTCCATTTTCAACCAATCGTGTCTCAGCTTCGGATCAGCGCTCGTCCAATCACAGAAGAGAGCAGGATGACGGCCCCGCCTCCAAACTGCATGTTGAAGAAGAACGTCATCTGCCTCATACATTTAGCTTTAGCCAAAATTAGCTAGTTGTTCAAGTCTTAGATACATCTTGTCGAAGCGGGTGTTTTTCCTTTCAACCGACAGCCTGCGTAACGGTTATTTATTTGGTTCTCCCCGGGTTCCCAGTGCCAAACATGTACATAAAAGCCTTACTCCGATGCAGAGACATGCTGAAAGGAGAACTGATCGTGTGAAATGCTGGCTAGCCTAATCAAAGCTAGCTGACGAGCAGGGGCCGAGAAACGAAAGTGGCTAACGTTACCAAGAAATAAGCCTATCACAACAAGCCTGGGTGCTTAAACCTACCTGCGTCTGAAGCCACAAGAAGACGGACTGATAGCGATAGTTTGTTTCCTATAAAGTAAGTAACGCTGGCTCATACTAACACTGGCTAGTCGCTCGCTAACGTGTAACGTTAGATAACACTTTGACAACTGTGAACTCCGCTAGCTGGTTAGCTGGTTAGCTTAGCGACCTGACGTTAAGTGGCCTCATTTTCAGTTAGGGGACAGCTGTCTCTTCGCTAATGTTATTAATGTTATTGTGGATCATAACGATAAGAGTAAGCGTATAGTTGGTTGGTGGTGGTGGTAATTATGAGATTATCGGTGTCGCTGATGTGCGCCAGGTATTAACATGCCGGGGTTTGGTTAAGTGATGGACGCTGTTACCTTGTGTTTTACTGCACAATTTGTAAATATATCATTAGTGTCAGTCTGCTGGTTTATAATTGATGCAGTTAAGTGGTTTGAATGGTGAATGTCATATCAAGGGTTGGTACTGCGCAACATTTGGGAAACGGTGTAAGTGTGTTGATGTTATGATAAAATGCACCCCTCCCACTGTAACCGAGTGCGACTTTGTTTTCATTTTGTGATGGTCTAGAGATAAATGATTATTTTACTGATATTGGTGTGTATCCAGTGCGACTCACATGAGGTGCTGGTTTCATACAGTTTGTTCTGGTAGCTGGTTGCAATACAGTTTTACCCTAAAGGGCCAAGAGAACATAATATTGATGCCAACTTTGAACCCTTATGGTTTTATGAGATTCATATTCTATTATTTACTATCAATGCACATAGCAATCTAGTGCAATTTTAAAAAGTAGTTTCATGTTTTGTATTCCCATTCTGTACCAGTACAGGATTGAACTTGTTTTATTACCTTGTTGTGGGTAGTTTTATTAGGTTGTCGGTGTGTGTGTGTGTGTGTGTGTGTGTATGTGGCTGTGTGTTTGGCACTGTGTTTGTGTGACAGTGTGTTCCAGAAATGGCAGCATCATCACTGGCATGTTTGTGTTGGCACCTTGATGTGAAATCCTGCACTAGCCATGCTTTTTTAGCCTATGTCTACTGCAACTCTATTGGCCCTTTCCAAAGGCATTCATCTGTGTACTTTTGATTGTGACTGTTGATTGAATCACTTCACACGCAGATGTACGCTCGCATACAGTGTTAACTGGCAAGCTTGGAATAACTCAAAGATAAATTTGCCAAGTGCCAAGAGGAGGGGGGGTTCGGGGTTGGATAAACTGTGTGTATGTGTTTGAAAAGAAAAAGACTGAGTTGCAGATTCATTTTCTGATAACACTGTTTTCTATTTTAGCATTGGCCAGCATGAATACTCCCTGGTTAAACTGATGATACCAGAGCATGAAATCTGAGATATACACAATTATCCATTAAAATGTGTGCGAACACCCTACGTGATTCACTTTAACTTTTGGAGTCTTTATCACTTTGCCATTGTCATATTCAGATTACATTCACCATTCATTTACCAAATAGTTAGTCACTCACATAAGACTCAAGCAGGTTCACTGAACTACGTGGATACATTCTACTGGTGTACAGCACAGTATCTTCATGAATTGAGATTGCTTTTAAACTGGTTAGTGCGTAGCAAATAGTTGTTTCCCAACTTTTGAGGCTTGGGATTAATTCTGCGCTGGATAGAGAGAACAGGTATATACAAGTACATATGCTCTTGTTGCCAACAACCCACTCACAATCAAGTATAACATGACACATTTACTTTCCTCTTCTTTGGCTCCAGTCTGGTCAAATGCCGGCCCCAGCTTTCCTGACGCCACTGCACTGAAGATGACTGCAGCTTTCTATTAAAAGAGCACTTGTTCTGAGAAATTGACTGCTTTTGATGCAACTTCAGTGATGAGTCATCAAAGAGGGGGGTCTGTGATATCCCCAGCCTTTTTCTTCCACCTAAAAAAAAAAAAAAAAAAAAAAAAAAAAAAAGCCTTATTGAAGGGTAAAACTCATTTTATTTTAGTTACAGTTTTTACTCTAACTCAGGACAGTGCATTACACCAACTGTTCCAGATACCTTGTGTTTTTTTTACTGTTTCAGATGGGGCTGTAGCTAATGGATACTTAATCATAGGTGGTGCCAGGGGTGGCATTACAGAGCTTAAGTCTTGAATCTTCTAAGCAAAGCCCTGAGTCTTCACTGCTCATCACTTGTGGTATTTTGTATTAATCCCCAATCCTAGCTGCATAGGAACCAATTCAATGCATTTTAAACAGAATGGTTGGTGCACTGCCCTGTGTAGTTTTTCTGCATAGCCCCTGTCACTGGAGCACCAGCAGGGAGAGTTTCCAGAACCCATTGACCCCAGAACCGCCCGTGTACTTTATCAGCAGAAAGATGATCCCCTGCCAAAATGGCATTGTAAGCACATTAGTAGAAATTGATCATTTTAAGATTTACCCGATGCTCTCAGTATTGGCTTTCTTAACAAGAGATGTAAACTGCAGCGAGGAATTGAGTCGAAACATGCACTAAGTATAATACAGTGGAGCTATTATATGTATTTATACGGCACAGCTGAATGGATTTTTATAATTAGTTTTTAGCTCTGAGGAAAGTTCTCAGTCAATTGACTATCGATAGAATCAGCTGTTTACTTCTTACTTCATGTGTCACTAGTATCATTATAACTCCATGTCTGTATTTTTGTGGTGAATCTCTTTAGTTATGGGTTTACGATTTAAATCTAAATATTCACTATTGGTGACTATAATGGGAATATTTTGTAGTGGACGATTTTCGGACACTACTGAGGTCAGGTCGTTCCTTTCATCAGGCAGTTTAGGTAGCTCTTGAATGTCCATTGTTTTTTTGTTTAATTTAATTTTTTTCCACTAAGTATTACATTGCATTGTGAGATAATTTCAGTATAAAAATTCTCACTAGACATTCAGGCTACATTAGACAGACACAATGCATAGTGGATGATGTTAGACACATTGCTGGTCTTCATAAAGGGCACAAGGACTCAGCCTTGATACAAGGGGCGCCAGCTCTGCTAGGCGAGCTATCAGGGTGCCCCACCAACTATACTTTTAGTATAAGGACCTTTATCTGGCACCAATATCTCCTTCTGACTGTAAGTCTCTTTTGGGAACCACATGCAAATAATGCATACGTTATCTATCTATAGTACTCCAGCACCTGGCTTCTTACTATACCATCATGCTTTATTTCCCATCAGCCCGTTCACAAGGTATCATGTTGACTAATTGTATTCTGATCATATTTTGTTAATTCATTGCTCATTTGGTACATAGCCACAAACACAGTCCATTGTTCATTTCTGTCATTTTCCCACCAAATACAAGACAATACAACTGTTCAGTGATGCTGTCATCTGAAATGTAGATGTAGGCTATTATATCACATTCTGTTCACTGCATGTCACCAAACAAGAGTCAAGATAGAGAGAGCTATTATGTTAGCGGTAGTGCACTGCCGTGTGTGGTCTGTGTTTGACAGGCTAATCTGGCCCTGTGTGGATCCCATCAGCAGCTGACTGTTAAATTGAGTTAGCTTGTTAAAGCTACCCTGCTTGTCTGAAGTCTGAGACCTGTGGGCTGATCTGTTAGCCAGCTTTCGACTTTGACTGACTTCATCTCGCTGTATGTTCTGTGCGACAAACAGTTGTGTGGTGTGAGTAAATCAGAGTGAGGTCAGTCTGTTGTTAGACCTATCGCAGAAATGCATGAACAGCCTCTCGAATGTCAAAATACACCTGAGCCTATAGAAAAGAGAAAACACACATTTAATATCAGTAAAAAGTCAAGAGAAAACACACACACACACACACACACACACACACACACACACAGTGGCATGGCTGTGCCGTCCTCTTGTCGCATGCTGCAACACCTACTGCTTCTGTTGCCACGGCAACCACTCAGCTGCCACTCCAAGCTGTGTAACCATGGAGACGTTGGTGACATCACTCCCAAGAGTTCTCAGTGCTTACATCAGGGCTTACAAGTTGTGTATGGTGGTATTCATTGTTATATGCAAGGCCGACCGTATGGCACATATTGTAGCTGTGTGTTGATGACGTATGAGCCTCAAAATAGAAGGGGCACTTGCCTCTGCGTAGAGCGTGTGTTGTTGCTGTACAGGTGAAACGGCAAATGATTTGGTTTGGTGATTGTGCACATGGCTTTGATATCTGCTCAATAATATGTTAAATGTGTGTCTGAATGCATTTGTTGTCAAGGTAATACTTGAAGTGGTTTGCACTAGTGATGCTTTCCAACCCTTTGATATGCTGTGTGTGTGTGTGTGTGTGTGTGTGTGTGTGTGTGTGTGTGTGTGTGTGTGTGTGTGTGTGTGTGTGTTTGTCTTCTGCATATGCAAAACAAAACACACCTGTTTTATCTCACTTAATGGGGAGAATGGAAGTCACAGAAACCATGATAGCATTGAACATCCGCTCTTTTATAAAAGTAAACAAAAAAATACTATACCTGTGTATATAATGTATAATTCATAGATAGATAGATAGAAATAATAATTTTGATAACTTCACAGGGCACAATTATATATAAAAAATAAAGTGTTTAAAGTGCTTCACTGAGCTGAAATTGAAACTAAATTTCAAAATAAAACATTTCCAAATAAAATTTCGATACGAAACGTTGTTGACCCGCTCACGAATGCACTATTTCTGGCCATATTCTGACCGCACTCCAGACAGTACACGCAGTGCATTGCGTTACGTCCTTTGTTGTACCTCAGCCAGGGAAATTGTTTCAGCCAGTCCTGTCTGAAGGAATATATTTTGGCTGTTTTTAATTTGGGTCTCAGAGGACTCCATACCAGACTCGGTTGTCTCCTCCTCTGGTTCCGAGTCTGATGCTGTCACCGAAGGACCAGGTCTCGGCAATTTTTAAACACACGCAACTTAGCGCGGTGAACAGGACCACAGCCAATCAGAGGCAAAGACCCGCCCGAGCTCTGTCTCTTATTGGTTTAGAACACGATATGATCCTACCATGAGTGTGTGAGTTCGGTCACAGGAGAACACAGAGAGATGATGCACTTGCGAAATAAATTTATGTTTTCACCCGGGCAGCGTCAGGTGCACCGGTGCGACTGAGAAAAAAAAATCTGCTTCAGTCAGTAAAACATTTTAATTTTTCACATCACTTGTGTTTGGATGATTTTGCATGAGCATTTTTTGAGTAATTATAGTGATTATAGTAAAAATTTCATTGATGTTTTACTGTTTTAATGAACAAAATAAACCCACAAAATGTCAAGAAAGGAAATAGACTTACACCCATTTTCCTTATTATATGGAAAATACAAACCAAGATGGACAAATCTTGCATAGTACGCCTTTAAATAAAAGTGTCATGTCATAACTTTGTGACTTGAGTCTTATAACTAAAAGTATCACATCAGCAACACAACAGGAAGAGCCTCAAACATCTTTCACAGTCACACTGTATCTGTTAAGCCACAGCACTGCTGTGTACTCACAAGGGATTTTACAGTGCTCACAGCCCAAATAGAGGGTAATGTATTAACACACAAAAGTCTGAAGACTTTCCAGATTGCAAGCCATCATGTGGGCAGTGTAGACAGTGGTATTAATTAGAGATGTAAGACAGATTAAAAGAAGGCAGCCTATACACTTCCTATGTAGATGGGGTGACTTTGTTCAACTTGTGTTGTTGCTAGGTAGTATTTATTTTAAAAAAAATTAACCTTTAGCCTTGACCACGTTTACATTAATGTGGAATATTAGTATTTTCCTGAGACCGGAAGCTTGAGTATGCCTACAACTTTTATGTAGGTAGCATTTATTGATATTACATAGTACAAGTGCAATTTGCGAGGCTAAGAGGCCATTAAGTAGTGTGACAATCAATAAGACTGTATAAGTTCTCACAATTAACATAGGCTGGATACAGAATATCTCTCCCATCAAGCAGCCTGAATGCTGCTGTTCATTCAGCTAATGCAGGTGCCGTTATAAAGAGATAACACATCCTCTCGAGTTTGTTAATGGTCTTAGTAGCCAGTTCTGTCTGGCCAAAGAAGCTTTTAAACCTGCTCCTCAGTCTCTTTAAGCATAAACCAAAGTGGCTGTGCTATTTCTGATATGATGAGCAATGATCACTGGTTGGTTTGAATTATTCCTTCAGGCCTATTAAGTAAACAGTAAAAGAAATACACAAAAAAACAGCATTCCAAGTCTCCCACATTCTCTTTAAAAATCTGTGCGACATTTGCAGGGTTTACATTTTCAGACCCTAAAATATTCACTTGAGATCTTTAATCTGTTTTTGTTGGCTGAGAAGGCATAAACACTATAATTTTGTGTGGAAGCCTAATTTATGTGCACAACTTGATTCAGCAACTTGAAAATGAAACCTGGGCAATACAAGTCATGAAATGCTGTATCTGACTTAGAGAGCAGGTGCACTTTTGCAGATCTTACTTAAATTAAATTTACTTTATTACCCATGCAGCTGTAGAATTTTCTATTCTCCCAGTACAGTCAGTCATTTTTAAATAATATTTGAGAGAATACATGCAGTAGGAATTGCCCATGTTAGTATTCTATAATATATATATATATATATATGGTATTTTAATGTTTTTGTTCCACTGCATTGCCAGCTGAGACTGAGCCTTTAAATCCACAAACAACATGAATGTATATTGTCATTCAACAGAACTAAGGATGCATGATATTGATTTTTCTTCAGCAGATACAATAACTAATACCGTTATTGTTACTTGCTTCTCATGGTTGATAGGACAAGAAATTTCCCATTTTGTTATTGTAAAAGACAGATGATTTAATATTCCATAGCTCTGACCTAACCAAATCTTGCTGACATCACTATTGTTAACACAACAAAAACAAACAACACACTCTTCAAATGTTGAAATAAGTACATAAAAACAACTTCAAAAACATACCTTGCCTTTTATAGAACATAAAGCCTGTCGATTGCTTTGCACTAGAATTCAAAATGAATTATTTACAATACTATAGATTTCCCATTATCAGCTGATAATTTATCTGCCCCAGTATATATTGTGCATCCCTAAACACAACTGCTTGTTTTAATGTTAGTTTTGTGCTAAAATGTTTATATTTTACATTGATGATTCATGACCTTGTCCTCCGCAGCATAATATCCATGAAGCTGACTACTTGTTATGACTTGCTGCTCCTTTCAATGTAACTGTTGCTTTGAACAGTTATTTGTTACAAATCTTGCCTCTTGCAGGTGAACACACTCGTACACACACTCATTGTTGGATTGGAAAGTCTGGAGTTAACGTTCAGTTTAGATTTGTCAGTAAGCCATGCAGTGGAGCCAGCATGCAGGGCCCTGCCACTTGTACATCTTAAATTGAATGAGGCCATAATTAATGTCATTAGCTTCACCAAAATATTTCCGGTAATGTCTGTAACAGAAACAAAATACACAGGCCAGTGGTCACAAAGTGCAATACCCAATAGAAATGGAGAACCTAGTTGCATACCTGTGAACAAGATAAAGTAATACAACTTTGGGCAGATATTCTTTCTTTTCTTCACACTTTTAATTGTAGTTTAACTGCCAAAAAAGTATAGATTTAGTGTATGGACTTTTTAGAGTGGAATTGGTGCAATTGGTGAGCACGAGTCATCAGAGATCTACCAAACCAGACAATGTTGAGGATTAACATTTCAAACTGTATTGTTATCACAGTCAGAATTGTGGCGTCAACATAGGATAGACCTGCAGTCACTGAACTGATTAAGTCATATTCATTGATTGGTTTTCTTTTTTTTGTCCTGTGTTTGTCTCTTTTTTTCCCCCCACAGGTAGCAGTGGGTCTCTCTAGGGCAGAGCCATGGGTGCGTTCTTGGACAAGCCCAAGACAGAGAAGCACAACTCACATGGTGAGGGAAATGGCCTGCACTATGGACTGAGCTCCATGCAAGGCTGGCGGGTGGAGATGGAGGATGCTCACACAGCTGTGTTGGGACTTCCTGCTCCTGGTATGACTGACTGGTCCTTTTTTGCTGTGTACGACGGTCACGCTGGCTCAAGGGTTGCCAACTACTGCTCTAAGCATCTTCTGGAACACATAATCAGCGCTAGTTTTGGGGCCGGAGGGACACAAGGCTCCCAGGCTGGTTCAGACGGCTCCACCACTGACCCTCCAGCACCGGTTCCTCCTACAGTGGAGGCTGTGAAATCTGGGATCCGGACAGGCTTCCTGAGGATTGATGAGCACATGCGTAGCTTCTCTGACCTTCGAAATGGCATGGACCGTAGTGGCTCCACAGTAGTTGGAATCCTCCTGTCACCGGATCATTTCTTCTTCATTAACTGTGGTGATTCTCGTGCTGTTCTATACCGCAATTCACATGTGTGCTTCTCCACACTTGACCACAAGCCTTGCAACCCACGTGAGCGAGAGCGCATCCAGAATGCTGGCGGCTCAGTGATGATTCAAAGGGTTAATGGGTCACTGGCTGTATCAAGGGCTCTGGGGGATTACGACTACAAGTGTGTGGATGGGAAAGGGCCCACAGAGCAGCTGGTTAGCCCAGAACCAACAGTGTTTGAGATGGTTCGGGCCCCTGAACAGGATCAGTTTGTGATCCTGGCGTGTGATGGCATCTGGGATGTCATGTCCAATGAGGAGCTGTGTGAGTTTGTGAAATCTAGGCTTGAGGTGTCTGATGACCTGGAGAGAGTCTGCAATGAAGTAGTGGACACCTGCCTGCACAAGGTGTGTACAGATTTGTTTTTCAGCATGGCTTTTTTTTTTTTTTTTTTGTGTGTGTGTGATCGCCACTGTTTGCTAACAGCTAAGACTGAAATGTGTTGCTACTCCAAAGGGAACTGTATGATGAAGAAATGCATATAAATGTACAATGTACATAAAGTTCTAAAGAGAGGCTTTTTTTAATTGAATAGGAACTAGTTGTAACAGTTTTAATTGCCCAGGCACATAACTAATTGTCCCTCATGTGAGAAAGAAGGAGAAAGTTAAATTTATTGGGCAGTTTAGACCATAATTCTTTCAGTACTTTACAACAACTCCTTCTCTTACCTGCTCTTTCTTCGTTCCTCTGTCCTTTCTGTCCATCTTAGGGGAGTCGGGATAACATGAGTGTTGTGTTAGTGTGTTTGCCCAACGCTCCCAAAGTGTCAGAGGAAGCTGTGCGGAAAGACGCTGAGCTCAACACATATCTGGAGACTCAAGTGGAAGGTGAGAATGGACGGGAGGAGATAAAGAACCAATATTTTGTGTATGTGCATAATGGGATTGGGGAACATTACAAAAATGTACTGCTCTGGAGTATTCAAGTACTTTGTTACTGTCATGTGGTAAGCTGTGAAAAATTTGCAGTTTGCTTGTATAGCAGCTGTTGAGAATGTGTTTACATTCTTATTTATAATCAATTACCCCCATTAATACTGTTGTTTAAAAGGGTGTAGTTGGGCCAAAAACAGGTCCTATAAAGGGTATTTCTTACTGCAACTGAAACTGTATCTTATCTGTATGCATGTTTTCTCCACTGACTGACCCTGCCACTCTCTATTGTCTAACCTCCAGCCAAGTTAGCTCCGGCTCACAGCAGAGGAATGACACCATCGTGACCTCCTTTTCCATTTCAGCAAGCATCTCCCCTCTTTATTCCCTGTTCGCTTCTCTACTCCCTTTCCCTCCCTAAACTCATCTTTCTCTCCTCTCCCTCACTCAAGCATTCCCTGTCCTGTTTGGATGGATTCAGTGTTCCCCTTCTCTCTTTCTCTCTGTCCTTTCCTTACTCATTTCATCCCATTTTTTTTTCTCAGGATGCATGAGGCCCTCTGATGAACACAGTGTAGCTTTTCTAGTCTTTGTTGGTTATGTCAGCTCTCTTCCCTGGCTACTGTTAGTCTGTGAAATCCAGGGCTGGCCAAACAAGAGATGTATTTATTAAACTCTGAGACTAGGTAAAACACACTTTTGTCGTGTTTTAACTAGTCTTGTACCAAAGAACCTGTGTCTATTGTGTTGTTATATCCATTTTAAGACTATTTAATGCAGGTGGTAACGCAACTTAATGTTTGCAGTATTGTTTTATTGTGACATTTCAGGAAAAATTTGGTTTGATGAAGCAGACTAGATATTTGGCTTCATGTACTGTCTAATACTGAAATAAAAAAGAGAGAGAGAAAGATGGAATAGTAAGAGAGGAGAAAAGAAAGAGGAAGAGGAATGCTCTGGCTGAACATTGACCTGGCCTCATGCCATTCTCAACTCACTTGCAGGCCTCTGTCTGTCACCATCTCTCTCCCTCTCTCTCAGACACACACTCATTTCCACAAATTCATTTGTACGGTTTCCATCTTCACTTCCTTTCTCCTCGTTTGTCACATTTTTGGTCTCACTCCTCTGTTCTCCCCCCTCTCTCTCTCCCCTAGCCTTCCCCAGCTGTTCTTGGCTATCACCAGCTCTGTTAATACTGACTTATGTAACAACAATGTCTGGTGTTGTTTTAGAAATGCTGTCTCGCTCAGAGGAGGACGGGTTTCCGGACCTGGTAACGGTGATGAGGAACCTGTCCACTGACAGCGGCATGCCCACTCTTCCACCAGGGGGAGGCCTTGCCAGCAAGTAAGGAACTCCGCCCCCTCAAAAGGATACTTGATGATGTTTTACACAGGTGTTGTAGATTATTCCCCAGTCATAACAGTATGAAAGCCGAAGGAGAATATAAAACATTGGCAAACATAATTTGTCTCAGAACAGAGCTGGTATTAAAATGTACCAGTTATGTAAAAAAGAAATTGCTGGTTGTCTAATGTGTGTATGTCCAGCCCAGGTATTGTTTTTTGAATGCCATTGGAATAGAAAATACTGAAGTTTTTAGTCATAACAATTCTAGCGAGACGTTTTCCTTTTTTAACGACACCTTACCGTACTTGTTCTACCACATGTGCCCTCTGTTGTTGCTCTGATGGATGGTTTGAATTGAATAGTTCACCTAATCGCATTTTTTCTATCTGTCCTTCCTGCAGACGTAATGTTATTGAAGCAGTATACAACCGTCTGAACCCATACAGAGAGGAAGATGGGGTGAGTGTCAGTAGAAGTGATGAATATGAGCAACACAAATGTTGATGCTATATAACACATCTGAGATATCAGCTGTCTCATTTGTTAAGTTTATGTTACACGTGAGTTTCAGTGGTGTCTGAAAATCTCGTATTCCTATGTTGATTCATCCTGTCCTGTGGACCAGACTGGAGCTTTGTGTGTGTTGTATTATTTTCACGTTCAAAACAAGAATAGATGAAGTACTGTTGACTTCAGAGATGCCTTTGAGCCCATCACTCCCATTATGATAAACATCTTGCATGGTGCATGATGCACACCTTCCTGTTAGCTCTCGCAGTGGGTTATGCATGCATGATAACACGGCTTTATCAAAAGATCTTTTACCAGACACAATGACTGCGAGTGAGAGCATTCTCTTCTAATCTATTTTGTGAAATATCTCCTAAGTGGGGGGACTTTTTTGATCAGTTTATTTGTTTGCCTCTCCTTCTCTACATTTTATCTGTCCTAACACAACGCTACCCCAGAGGCCACTTTCTATATCAGTCTGTATTTGGTAAGCCTCGTTTCCACTACATGGTACCGCTCGACTCGACTCGCTTTTGGTACCGGGGGGTTTTCTTCATTTCGTTTCCGCTACAGGTAATATCCCCTCAATGTAGGTGGGATTCATAGCTGATTGTGGTAGCAATGTGCAGTGAAACTGCCATTCCATCATCAGTACAACACAAAAACACGCAAGCATACAAACAATGGTGGATATGGAAGGGCTGGTGTTCTTGATTCTCAGTGTGTGGCTGTTAGTCGCAGTAAGGAGATACACTTTGTTTCAGAAAAGGCTGAAGGCAGCAAGACGAAAGGCGGTGTGAAAAACTACATCGGAGTGAAGACGTTGAGATGTCGCTGTTTGTCACACTAGTGACGATTCTCTCTGACCAGTCAGTGATCTGCAGTGTTTTCACTCCACCTTTTACTTTCAGCTCAGCTCGCTTAGAACCTCAACAACATTTGACAATGGAAAACCAAAAATAGTAGTAGTAATAGTTCTTGGAACTAATAATAGTTCCAAGTGAGTTTAAGTGAGTCGAGTTGAGCCGTACCACGCAGTGGAAATAAGGCATAAGACAACGCACAATTCCAAACACAAGGGTCTTCCACTGGTACTAGAACAGTGTTTCCAAATACAAGTTGCAGACTTGAAGCACACACAATGAAATTAAAGCAGTAATCAAAACTAAATACATAAAAATAAATGACAATAAGTAAGTAAGTAACGAGTAAGTGGCTTTTTGCCACTTTCATTGAAAACAAAGTATTAAAATGTTCAGCAATACAGTAATTTTTACAAACCATTGCTGCAGCATTATCCTCTTCTTTGCAATTAAGTAAAGTAACAATTAAGTAAACCTGTAAAATGATCTCTATTTAGCTCAGGTGAATAAAAGCTTCAGCCACTATATGAGAATTCCTGGTCAGAGGAAACTATATTGAACAAATGTTGGTGTCCAGGAAGCTCTGTGTGAGGATATAGTCTTACACACAGATGTGGAAATACACACTTATGTTCTGTAGAGATCTCTACTTGCCAACAAGTGTGTGTGATCCTGTTACTTTCTGTTGCAGTGGATTGGTGGTTACATACGGGAGTGTGTGTATGTATTTTGAACTGATGGCTCATATGTGTCTGTGATAGAACGGCAGTCTTTAGAACTGTTAACCTGATTACACTGTCCGCATCAAGGTTATTATAGTTAACTAAAACTAAACTTAAAACTAAAACTACTTGTGAAAAACATTTTAGTTATAAGTATAAGGAGAAAAAAAAAGAAAAGCTATTGTGTACTGTGGTCCAATTTGTCAACACCACAAGCATGAGCATTGGTGCAAATGTTTATTGAGACTGGGATGTCTACAATGTCTTTAAAGTCAATGTCTTTGCATTGTCATACCATTACAACAAATACGATTTGTTCCATTTTAAAATTTAAAAAAAAATACAAAACTATAATAACTCTGGTCGCCATTAAGGAAATCGTCATCAAAGTGCATGTAGGCTCTGTGTGGACATCAGTGCACCTCCAGTTTGTTGTAACCGTCTGGAGCTCTGCACAGCCCATATGCTACAAGGGCACATCTTCCTGTAAACACCGTTCATGTGTGGAACGGGTCTTCCAAGCAGACTCCACAAAGTCGTATAAACAGAACTCTACGTGGCAGCGGTGTCCGCAGCTGACTGTGTACGCGTCCGTTTGGGAGTGTAATCTAGGCTTTAGCATTGCCGTGATGAAGCATGCCTACTTGTTTATTAACCGTTATGTATGGTGTGTTCTTGTATGTCTGTGTGTGTATGCGTCTGCTAGTGATGGACATGTCAAAGGTCCTAAGGTGGAACCTGACTCCTACAACAGATTTGTGTGTGTGTGTGCTTAGGCGATTGTTATTAGGCGATGAAGTTAGGCGATGATCACCTCGTAGTGTTTGTCAGTTACTGTGATTGTCAGCCCTAATGCACACATATGCACACACACATTCACACACATATAATCTACTCTGCTTAAAGCCGCTATGTGTAGAATTTCTATGTGATTAAAGCGTCTTTCAAGTTATTGTTATGACACATTTCTGATTGGCGAAAAATGTGACAGTCCTGGTGGAAATTGGTGCGGTTTGTTGTTTGTCTAAATTGTTCCAAAATCCTAAATGTTCAAATTCTGCACATAGCAGCTTTAAATAGATTTTTAATTTGATATATAGCATTCATGTTTAAGGAATGCTGTAATGTTAATTTGGTGAGGAATTTAAGTTACATAATTACATAGCTATTAACAGCCTTCTTAAATTAAAGGTGCTATCAGTAAAATAATGGCTCTCATTAAGATCTTGTGGCAGCTTTGGGAAGCTAAACCATCTGTAAACACGTGCTCCTCCACAACCACCTGTGTTTAGTAGTTTTATGTCAAGATTTTAGTGACAGATGTTAAGATCACCTCCTGTTGGGCATCCTTTATGTTACTTCAGAGAGTGCTATGACTGTTGTGTCATAACAATATATCACTAAATTTTACACTGGCAGGTATCCCTGTCTGCATGGAGTTTAAACTGACTTGGGTGCGGCGGTGCTACACTGCTAGAACTATCAGTAAAAACAGAAGTTAGACTGACTCACATTTAAAGTTTTACCTACATTATTTATTGTTTTCCTGTGTAAACTATAAATTATTAGTGATGACATTTGCTCTAATGGACTGACATAAACACCATCTCATGTAGCTAATGTTCGCTTCATCATAGTACTAGTACATCATCCTTTTGAACCTACAAAAACCAGATATCTATAGGAGTCCTTTTCAAAAATGGGACTGGAGGACAGTCAGACCCGGTCCATAATAGACCCTGAAGGATATTCAGACCTGATGCAAAATGAACAGGCCAAAATCGAAAGATAACTACAACTACTACTCTCGCAGCAGCCTGATATTCCACCAATTAATGAGCGACCGCGATCAAGGGAGTAGCAGAAAGCTATAAAACAATTACTGATGACACCCTTAATTTGTAAAACCCCAAAAAACATTGCCTTTTTTGAAAGAAAAACAAATCAAAAAAATTTAGCGTGATGTCCCTCGTACTAAAATATTTTATTATAGCAGAACAAATGAATGGAATGGTTCAAAATGTAGTGAGCAGCTGGTGTGTGGTAAAGTACACACCTACACACACATTGATAAGGGATGTATCGATTTGTCTAACTATGTGTTACCTCTGATTAACGCAGCCCTCCTGTTTCATTTGGTAAGTGATCACATATATAACTGTTACACCCCCCCTCCCCTCCCCTCTTATTCCAACCCCTCATCTACACACATACATACACACACTCAAACGCATTCTTACAGGCATGTAAGTGGCGACCTCCTACGCATATTCCCTTGTCACTCCTTCATCAGTCTCTACTCCCTGTTCTGACTTACTCTCTAGCATGTGGAGCTCCATTTAGAGTTTAAGGCGTGTGTGTGTGTGTGTGTGTGTGTGTGTGCGGACGTCTGTGTGCAGACCTGACTGTCCAGGTTTGATGAGCGATGAATGGTTATTGTCGTTTCTGGTCCTGTCCGTCCCTCTCTGACGTCACACGCGCACAAACACGCATGCACTGGCCCTACTCGCATGTAGCGCTGTCTCGCTCAGTCTTTCCAAAACTGCACGCAAGTTCCAGTCTCCGTTTCTGTGTCACTCCCTGCAATGAGATGAAAAGGCCTTGGGATTGTTGTGTTGGCGTATTGTTGCAGAAAGAACCTACACACTGAGGTTGAAAGCCTGCCCTGGCTTACACTGCTGCTTCTAAACTTTAATTTCATTTTTGTTGTGTTGAGCAGAGGAAAACCTGGCCTTGAAGTCCAGGTTTGGGGAACAAAATCATTGAATGTGACTGTAAATATTGTGTTTCTACATTTGATAACAGTGTGTCATCTTTTTGTCCTCTCTTTCAACCTTTTTCTTGTTTTCCTTCTTTTCTGTCATTCCTCCGCACCCCATCTCTCCTCCTCATCCTGCCACTTTCTGCTCTCCTCTTCTCTTTGTGGCTTTCCTCTTGCAGAGTGGAGCTGAGTTGGAGTACCACTGGTAGCTGTCCAGCACAACTGCCTGATTCCCCCCCCAAAAAAAAAAAAAAGACCCAGGACCACTTTTTCTGACAAGATCACATCCATAGTCACCTTTTAATTTCCTCTGGGATTTTTTTTATTTTTATTTCCCCCCCCTCACACTAAGACATCAATCGAAGCATAAATCCCATTTTTTAAAAACCAACACACCCGGTGTGGAGGACTGCAAAACAGATTTTGTTGGTTCCTTTTGTAGAACAAGAACGGGCAAAAAATAAGAAGCTGCATTGATGGTCTGAAAGCAGAACTACATACACAGTATATACATCAGAGGAGAAGCAAACAAGCATAGTTTCTCGTGCACATTGTTTTCTTGCTTTCTTTGTGGTGGTTGTTTTTGTTGTTGATTGATGGAGACACAGGAGCAGCCCCTGCTCTACTCTATGCTGCCTTCCTCAGATCTGAGATAAGGGCGGACCTCACAACTCTACAGTCAGCCAACCACTCATGGATAAGATACTGAATGGACTAAAGTGGTTTGTTGGATGCACCTTTTTTATTTTATTTTATTTTTTTTTTTGGGACAATATTTGTTTTGAAGTGTAAACTTTACTTGCACCTGACTGGCAGCCAATCAGCCACACAGAAGAAGTCAGTAGGCCCGGGGCATTACTGTTACTCAAACAAGGTCCAACACTTCACCTGCCCATGCACCCAGAAAAGCTCCACAGAACACCGGGATTAAAAAACTTCAGAAGTCCTCGCTATCCAAAGACCTCTTGGTTAAAGACTCAAATTCAGGGACCAAGAGCCCATCGGCTGGGGCTACACACCTGAATGCGAGGGGAGCACTCATGATAGAACCGAGTCTGTCTGGCGACAAATTTCCGTTTGGCTCCTCCACACTGTGTCCAAACTAAAACGGGACATGGGACCTGTGTGCCTGGCTGCAGATGGGAATTACATGGAGACAATTCAAACTCAAGTGTGATGACTCTTCTTGCACGTCCCTGCTCACTTTCTCTCCTCCTGTCTCTTAAAGGATATTATCAAACAGTTGATCCCCCCCCCGTCTCTTTCTCTTTCCGCTTCTGTCTGTCTCTTCACATGACAGAAGAGACTCGGCTGTCATCTGCATCGGCAGACGTTGCCAGAATCATAAGCTTTTAAGCCTGCTGTTGTTTAAGAGATAGAAAGATAGAAATTATATATTAAATTCATATATATAGATATATATTTTGATTTGTTTGTTTCATCTTAATTCCTAGCCATGGTATTCATTGTGGCCTAACATGCGTGTGGTCTGTGTGTGTGTGAGACAAATTTAAACAGAAAAGTTGCACACACAGTGTTCCCACACAGCAGCTTTCCAAAGACAGGGTTTGGGGTGAAGGAATTCCAGCCTCACCTTCTTCTTCTTCCCCCTTTCTTCTCAACACGTGCACACAAACAATACTGCTTATGCTACAATTCGCCTTTTCTATCTCTGAAATATCCTGTGTAAAAAAAAAAAAAAAGAAAAGAAAAAAAGAAGCCTTTTTTGTTTTGATTGAAAAGAAATTCCACCCTTTTTTATGTCTTTTAAAAATGTTTTTGGTATATATGGCTTTTCAAAGTACTGTGGCTGTGGTTCTATTACAGATGGATAAAAAAAAAAAAAAAAAACAAGGGGAGCATGAACTATACCTTGTACAGCAGATTGGGAGAGGGAGGGAGGTGTGTGGTGTTTCACTGTATGAAGAATAGGAGGGACACTGTAGGACAGGAGAGAATAGGCCCTACACCCAGAGCCGTGTTCACACTGTCACCGAAATTGCTGTCCTTAATATTTCCACAGCTATCTTCGTAGACTTTGCCTCGAAAGGCGCAGGACGGTTGCTGGGAAAGCCCCAGGTTTAACCCTTTGGGCTTTCATTTCTGTCTCCCCAAGCACTAATAAGTGATAGAAACAAATATTTGGCAGAAAAAGCCTCTTTCTTTTTTGAAACAAATGTGCTCATAGACAAAGTGGATACACATACTTTGCATGTGTATTCTTTTCCGTAGATGTGTTTAAAATAGGCTATAAGTATATACAAACCTGTAATATACATTTTTTTTTTTTTTCAACCATTCAATGGCAAATTCATTGTGCTTTCTGAAGTGGCAGTATTGAAAGAGAATAGGCCTAACAGAGTTTGCTGGCTGATTAATCTTCTTGTGGTACACTTGCTCTTGGTGCCATATGACAAGTAGGTACTTGAATGTGTAGTTCTTTTGCAGTTGCATTGTTTTAATGGGATGATTTATTTTTTCTTTGTTTGTGGTGGAGGGAGCGGGAGGGGTGGGGGGGTCTCTATAGTTGTGCATGTTTTTTGATTGAGGGAGGATTTGTGTGTGAGTGGGAGATGTACTGGGCAGATGGGGATAATGTGGGCATGTTCAGTGTGCTGGAACACAATGTTAGAGAGGAAAGGTGATTGGAAAAATGAACACAAAGAAAGGACGACACATAGCAGGACATAGCGTTTTTCATTCAGTAACTTAATTGCCATTTGTTTTCAGACTGAAATTCAGTTGGGCCAGTTTATTTTAAAAGCCCAGAATAGTTGATTATTTTTCACTGTATCTGATTTGATATATTCCTAAAATGAGATCATTCCCAATTATGGACTCCTACATTGTATTTCCTGGCTTTTTAACATTGTATTGGGTTTTACCACACTGAACACAGTCCTCAGTTTGGGGTTATGTTTAAGCTATATCAGACACTGGGCTAGGAGAGAAATTAAGGGAGGGAAGGACGGAAAAACATTTATTTTTATTTTTTTTTAATGTAATTTTTCATTATTCACTCTGATTCCACTGCATGGACTGAATACAAGCAGCACTGCAGCATCACATTCTCCTCATCAGTCATTTAATAACAAAACAAGCTCTCTGGGCTCCCTTTTTGTTTTGGGAAAAAAAAAAAAGCACTTAATCATTATTCTTATTGTGGAATATAATCTGAAGACTGTAACTTTTTTTTGAAGGAGACTTTGGAGGTGTTGTGATGCTTGAATAATTCGACCCTGACTTACTACCAACCTAACTCCTTATACTAAGGACTTTAAGTAAAGATCATTTTACGAAGCATGTTGTCTCCTGAACCTGCCAGTTATTAATCTGGGCCGACTGGGTCGATGTGACCTCAAGGACAAAGAATTTGGAAGCGGTGGAAAAAGGGGGGAGCAAACTTCACGTCACATTCCTCCTGTGGGTTTTTTTTAAGATGGAGATGAACCCTTGTACTCTTTGTCACCTCCTTCTGTTGTCTTGAGTCACACTTTATATACATACTATTAGAATTGACAGATGTATGATGGCAATGGTAAAATTCCACACTTGTTTTTATTTATTCCTGTGCTTTTTAGCTCTTATAAAAAATGCTGTATTTTGAAGACCGAATGAGGTAATGATAAACTGGTGTGCATTTGAGAGTATTGTATGGCCCACTCACCTTCGCCTTTGACCCTTTTGAGAAGACTAAAGGAAGGCGAGGTTTATAAAACACGCAGGGTATTCACCATTCCTTCTTCCTGTACTAATTTCCCAGTATGCTATTGTGATGTTACAGACCATACAGTGAACATAAACGTCAATAAAAGATGGATTTAAGTTTAAACCGTGTCCCCTGGTTTGCTTTTTTTCGCTCACGGAAAGGCTTTGCAAACAAGATCAAGTCACCATATAGCTCAGAAAAGAAAGTTTAAGTCTACCAATAAGCCACATGCTTTTGAGTATGTGATGCGTATACGGTATGCAGCCTGGTGTTCTCTAAAGTTTTAACATATTAGACACTTGCAGTCTTACAGCATTGATATTTGTATATTTTGCTGTGATAAACATGCAGTTCTTCTCCCAGTGAAATTCGTTTAGGGGTATCTATTTCTTGTCATTTAGCTTGCATGGTGTCTTGCACAACATGAAGGTGGGGGAGAAAGAAAGGGGGATGCCATGCAGCAAAGGTCCACAACTCAGGCTTGAACCCGGGTCGCTGCAGCAAGGACTCAGCCTTGGTACGTGGGCGCAAGCTCTGCCAGGTGAGCTACCAGGGTGCCCCCGTCATTTAGGCTTTTTCCCCTCAGTCTCTCTGAGTGGAACAAAAGTTGTAATACTGGGCAAACATCAGCATCTATCAGAGTATTACTGTATGGATTCACATGTAGCAGATTTATCAGCTAAACATTCATTCTGTGAACTCTAACGGAGTTTAATGAAAACAGGTTTCAAGATTAGTAATGCTTTTTACACCGAATTCCGACCCTACCTATGTTATGTGACTTAAAATTAGTCATTCTCAACATTTGTTTTGTTATTGGTTTCAGATGAATACAGTTGGAGAACAGAAACATAATGTATGCTCTACAGAGGATGACCTATTTCAACTATCCCTAATGATGTACAGATTTCTATGCATTCTGGCTTTAAAAATAGTGAATACAGCTTCTATAAATTGCAAGAAATCAACCCACCCTTAGGTTTAGACAAAGCCCTGAATCTTTACAATATCTGGCTCCGCCCCTGGTCCTTGAAACGTCTACATCTCAGATCCAAACATAGAAATTCTTACTTTTGATAAGTGTGTAGCTACACGTTGGTGATAAAACTTGATGTACTTTTTGAATGAACAACTTTTATTGAAGTACCTCTCCCACACTGCAGCCAGAAATGTTAATCTCTAACCCATTCCCATCCAACTCTCCAGTTTCCCACATTCCACAGGTGGCACTGCGCTCTCTCTCTCTCTCTCTTGTGTGTGTGTGTGTGTGTGTGTGTGTGTGTGTGAAACAGAGAAGATAAGAGAGAGAGAGAGAAAAAAAAGTGTGTGTGTGTGTACTCTGACCCTCTTACCAGCAGATAAATTACTCATTGAGTCACTCGGTCTTCCTGAAGGAGAGCTAAACCAGCACGGTTTGTTTACAGGTTTCCCCTCCTTAAGAAAATCTCCATCAGATGACTTTAAAGAAAGAAACCAGCAGTATGGAGCTGGGGGAGTGCACCAGGAACCCGGGGTATCAGGATGTAGACGGCGGTGGGTCGGCGGCGGACACCGTCACCGCCGCTGTCCCCGGGGAGAAGCAGGACTCCACCGCGGTGAAGCTGGACCCGGACGCGGCTGAGGAGTACACGCAGCTCAAACCGTACGCCGGGATGCCCAAGGAGGTGTTGCTGCTGTACTCCTCCCAGGCCCGGTACCGAGTGTCCCGAGAGATCCTGTTCTGGCTGACGGTGGCCTGCACCTTGGCGCTGGTGGTGCTCACCGCCACAGTGATCGCGCTGTCGCCGCGCTGCCTGAGCTGGTGGCAGACTTCCCCGGTGTACCAGATTTACCCCCGGTCCTTCAGAGACTCCGACGGAGATGGGGTCGGAGACCTCAAAGGTAAGATGCTCCTGACCCCCGCTGCACCGGTCAATAATCTTGCAATCCACACAGTCGTGACCCCCTGACCCTGTGTTATTTTACCTTTAGTCTAGAGAAGGAAACAGTCCTTCACACTCAGTGATAACATGAATTTGACATTTAAGCCATTGTGAGAGTGAAATGATAGTGTTATCTTATTATAGTAGGATGGTACATTATCATTTATTCATTATTTAAGGACAACTTCTACTTCCAGATCCCTTCCTTATTGTGGTTTTTACTAGTTTGATTTATTCCACCATATGACCCAAATGTATGTTAACTGTTGACAGCATCAGTATTAATACACGGTTTGCTCTTCTTTATCTTGGGACTGGTCATTGGGGAAAAAGTAGCGCAGTATCCAGTATTCAGTATTTAGTATTCATCACTGTTGACGTATCCCTGGTCTGGCAGGAATTCAGGAGCAGCTGGATCACTTCCAGTACCTGAATATCAAGTCCGTCTGGATCAGTCCTTTCTACCGCTCTCCCATGAAGGACTTTGGCTACGATGTGGAAGATTTCCGGGATATTGACCCACTCTTTGGGACCATGGAGGACTTTGAAGCGCTCCTGGCTGAAATGCACAACAAAGGTATGGACTCCGTGGTGGTGGGTGAAGTGATGGTGGATCAACGCGTGTTTTGTCTTGGGGTTGGCGGCGTTGGCTTAATAGCAGGGTGCATGTCTTTTACTAATCTTTCTGTTTCCACCAGGTTTGAAGTTGATCATGGATTTCATTCCCAATCACACAAGTGACCGACACCGCTGGTTCAACCTGAGCCGGACTGGAGATCCTCATTACAAGGACTACTACATCTGGGTTGACTGCAATCAAACCGTACCCAGACCTAATAACTGGGTTGGTACTTGAACTGTTCTCTTGAATTTGAAATTCAAACAGTTTTCTCTTTATAATGCTGGTGTCGGGTGGGTAGTTTCCTAATGTCTACACTTCCTAATGCCCTTTTCCTCAGGTGAGTGTGTTTGGGAACTCGTCGTGGACTTATGATGAAGTTAGAGGACAATGCTACCTGCACCAGTTCCTCAAAGAGCAACCAGACCTGAACTTCAGGAACCCAAATGTCAGCAAAGAGATGATTGTAAGATTACTCGACTGCACACATGGTTTCATTTCTTGTTTGTGTTTGTTTTTTGTGACTCGCATGCTGTATCTCAGTGTTGTCCTCATCCCTTTGGTCTTGTCTGCTGCACCACAATCCTGTGTAATATGCAGCAGTAATGTGGGATTGTCAACTGATTACACATTAACTTTACAAGGACAGGTAATCCTTGTGTTTTTAACTGCTGCTACACACAGCACATAGTACAACAGCATGTTTATACTCAATAGTCCTGTGTTGTAGTTGAACGAAGGGCCTGGTGAAATTACTGTAAGATACAACCATTTTATTACTTGATATTTATTCTTTTATTTTAGGATATTATCCATTTCTGGCTGGGTAAAGGAGTGGATGGCTTCCGGATGGATGCGGTGAAGCACATCTTGGAGGCTGCGCACCTAAGGGATGAACCACAGGTGGACCCCAACAAACCACCAGTGAGTGTTACCTCTTTGCCCCTCACAACATTTAACCTCACTTGGTACCATTGTTTATCTCTAACGGGCAGCAAATGTCTGCTGGCTTAGTTCCAGCAGCTGTTTGTCCTCTGTCTGATGTGCAGGCTGAAATGGATCCGTATTGAATGGCGGAGCAGGTGTGACGCTCTGCTACCAAACACATTTAACCTCGTGCAAGGCCTCAAGCTTCAGAACCAATCAAATTTAATTTCAGTGACTGAGCTCTGAGGGTGCTGCCGAAGAATCTTTCACAGCTGTAGTCATCGTTTTGGATAAATAGATCATGTTTTTGAGGGGAGTGCTTTGCTTTGATGAGATGGTCAGGTTTAATTTTCAATAACAAGTAACAAACACTATCCAAAAGGTCTGTTCAGGGAGTAAGGTTAGGAAGAACTTGAAGAACTCTATTGTGCTCTTATCACCTGGCAGCTCTTCTTCCTCTGAGTTCACAAGATCAAAGTTCAGTTTAGTTAACAATCTCCGCTGTAACATCCAGTTATATAATTATATTCTGATTTTATTTAGTTGAATTATATAACGTGTGATATTTTAACAATCTGATGGATAAAAGCAGCACTGTGGGCAGAAGCTTTGCTTTCTGGAGTAGCTGGTAGAACAAACATAATGCTGCTCAGCTGAGTGGGAGAGTTCGCACTGTACATGATGTATCATTCGTCCTTTATCTCTGGCTTAAATGTCAGGATCATCTAGTCCCCTTCTGGAGAAAACACTGTTCTTGGAATCTGAAGGGTTCATCATTCATGCAGATTTAAGCTCCCTAAGAAAGAGTTTTTGTTCCACTGGGGCTGGAGCTATTTCTCACAGAAGAAAGATTAGTAGAAAATAGGCATATTTTGGTGGATTAGCAAGTCACTGGGATTTACTTACCACCGCAGAATAACTCTATAGTACTGACTGACTTGTCTACTTAGTGTTGCGGCAGTCTAGCCGAATTAGAGGACTACTAATTTTTAAGTATTATCCCACGCCAAGCTGTGCTTTGTGGTGACTGATGACTAAACTTAGTATCACTGTTTGGCATTACAGATATATTTTTTAATGCATTTACAAAAGGTAGAGTCACAGCTGTGTGTTTATTTGTATATTGAGGATTTTACCACAATATGATTCAACTAATCATAACTGAGCAACTATGTGTGTTATCTTTACTGCTTTAATGTCGGTTAAGCTTTAAATTCAGATCTGCTATGTGCTTTACTGGCTGTTGGCTGGATTGTTTGCTCATGTGGCTGCACGTCAGTTTGGTGGTTAGCGCTGCTGCCTCTGTAATTATGTCCGTGAATAGATTGATGGCCTGTGTGTGTCATTTGTGTGTTGTCCCTGTGTTTGACTTACTCCCACACAAAAAGACACACACATTAGGTGTTAGTTTTTAGAGGACTTCAATGTGCCTCAGAGCTTTCAGGAGTGAAGCAGGTTCGCGGGCTGATTCCCTTAAAATAGTTAACCTAGTGCTTTGCTGTTACGTTAGGGCCCAGTGGGTTGAATTTTCCCATAGGTGTAATTTAACAAGGCTGCCTGTCTCTTTTTTAATGTATTCTGTCTTCCTGCCATCTTTTGTTAAGACTATTACAACACATAATGTCCCAATGAACATTCCTTACACACAACAGTAATCCTTGGTCATTGGCCTCTACTCTTTCCGTATCTGGTTTCTACTTATTTTCCAACTACCTGGCCTGTGACAGGACACTGTGCTTTGGCCTGACAAAGGAACGCATTTACACCCAAGCTCTCCATACTCCCAGTGGGCAGAAGAAATTACAGTTGAGCTCTCTTAATGCACTATAGTTGATGATCTCAGGATGGAAGCTTTTCTATGAATGGACCACTAGTAGCCTACCTTCACAAAATGCAAAACCTGACTCTAACACTACTAATCCAATAGGCCAGAAATCCAATAATAGCCACATCACCTCACATTTCTTTGTATTCATAACACTCCAGGAGTCTGTAACCACAGAGTGGGACCTCTACCATGACTACACCACCAGTCAGTTGGGCTTGCATGACCTTCTGAGGGACTGGAGGGCTGAGATGGACATTTACAGTCGTGAGCCTGGCAGATACAGGTATGGGAGCTATAGCAATACAATAATGCTATTGGACTAGTTGGGACTGGGTTATGTTCTTACTACTTACTTAATACATAGATAAATAGACATATATAGTACCAAGACATAATTAAGATTCAAGATAATATTAAGATTGTGCAACATTAATTTAAAGACCAGACTAAAAATATTCCTCTTTTCCTTATGACTAGAAGCTTTTCTGATACAAATTTCTATTTTACTGTGGCATTAATAAATACTTTTGTTAAAGGCCAATAATCTAATAATGGACTGTATGAAAGAGATCAGAGGAACTCACTTACCGAGTCTTGAATGAAGATCAGTTTGCATGTTATCATACACAACAGGTTCATGGTGACGGAGTCATATGATTACCATGAGGTGGACAAGACCATGATGTACTATGGCACCCCACTGGTTAAAGAAAGTGACTTCCCCTTTAACTTTTACCTGCTGGACCTGCCTCAGAACACCAGTGGCTTGTGGGTTCAACATCTGGTCCACCTGTGGATGGCCAACATGCCCAGGGGACAATGGGCCAACTGGGTGGTGAGTCACCACACTCACATTTACATATTAGTTTCTTGGCTTCTTTAAAAACGAGACTGCCATATGGGGTTAACTCCAAATAATCAGCCTTCCACAGACATAACTGCAGATTATGCTTTATCTTTTGTTCTCCATCATAATGGTAAGAACCACAAGATCAAATCAAGATGAGAGGTGGCAAGAGCCACACGTTGTGATATTTGAATGGTATGCATGCTGACACCCTCAGATTAGCATCTTTTATCTATCTCAACTATGGACTGCTGGGTCAATCTCAATGTTAGTTGGTGTTTCTCTTCCATTTTGTTTCATGTCTTTACAACCACAAGATATTTTTATGTGCTATTATTTATTACACAGGGTGTAGATTGATTGATCACCAAGCTAAATATTAAAAGATAATAGTACCACAAAAACACAAACTTTAACACTGACCTGTTTACCTTATCCTCTGTGATAAGGTGGATCATGTGACTAGAGGAGACCACAAAGAAAATGTTAACTGATGCGGTACACACAATAACCTTTTGATGCAATGTACATCAGACCCTACCACCTACAGATAACTAAAAACAACGTGTGCTTCAGTTTCCCTCTGGGATCAGCTACCAATGGATTATGAGTTCTTTTGTCACAGAGACGTGTTTCCGGTATGAGTGACACTAATTGTCTCAGCATCATTTACTCCTCTGTGACAGCCCACAATATTTCTCCACCTCAGCCAGTCTCACTTAATTTTTATCCTGTATCCCTCACTTTTTAACTTCAGCTTTCTCTTCCATGACACCAACCCTTCAATTCCCCCCCCCCCGCTGCATTCCTTCCCAAGTTATCTCACTCACCTCTCCTCTTGTATTTCTCATACCTGTTACCACTGTTATCAGGTTGGGAACCATGACAGGCCTCGAATTGCCTCCAGTGCTGGTCAGACCTATATTCGTGTCATCAACATGCTGCTGCTGACCCTTCCAGGCACACCCACCACCTACTATGGCGAGGAGATCGGCATGGAGAACATTAATGTCACAGATAGTCAGATACAAGACCCTGCTGGCAAATACAATAAGGTCAGTTCTGTACACACTACACTGAAAAAAACATTAAATACTGTAATGTCTCTAAGTGCAATTGGTGTATAAAAGAAAGCCTGTTTACTATATATATAGCCTGGATAAAAGCCCATTAGGTTAAATCACCACCTCTGTATAACCATTTCAACAAAAACTGAATTTAATCTTCACAAAGATATCATTTATTTCAAGGTTTGTATTTTAGACTGCAATAGTCTTGGTGTAGCTAAGAAACTGGCGACTGATTGTATGTACATTAAAGTGTGTCCATATACTACACATTCATTGTCAAACTGTTCATTGGCACAAGAAGCTGAAATGCCAAAATGATTCCTTTCCTTTCACTGCAGAGTGCTAGTCGGGACCCTGAGCGGTCTCCAATGCAGTGGAGTGGTGACATGAATGCAGGCTTCAACAACAAAACCAACATCACCTGGTTGCCTGTACACCCTGAATACAGAAGCATAAATGTAGAGGTACAGAACTCTTTTAGTAGTGTTCAACTCTGGACAAACATCTGATCTGAGCTTGTTCAAGTTTACCTTACTTTAAGATCATGCATTCTGTTGCCAATCTTTCTTTTCTAGGTCCAGAAGGAAGATGAAAGTTCTGTTCTGGCTCAGTACCGTTTCCTGAACATGCTGCGTCAGTCAGAGCTCCCCCTTCAGCGTGGGTGGTTCTGCTACGTCCACGCTGATGCCAGTGTCTTTGCTTTCCTCAGAGAGCTGGATGGGCTTAACCAAGCTTTCCTTATGGTGCTTAACTTTGGTATAGAATCTGTCATCACAGATCTCTCCTCTATTCGTGAGTTACCAGACCAGCTGAAGGTGCTAATGAGCACAAACCAAGTCAGTGATGGCAAGGTGTTGCAAAAGTCTCGTATCCTGACAGAAGCAGGGGAGGGTTTGGTGATTCAGTACTCCACCCACACTCGGTTTAATCCCAACCACCCCGGACAGTGCTACGTGTCTGAGAAGGCCTGCTATTTGGGGGCCCTGGACATACTTTATAAATGCTAATATGAATGGGCAATGGCATTCCTTACGTACTATACTCTATAAGATTTACGTCAAACGCTGTAATAAACAGGATCATTGCAGATACATCCACTGTTGAAGTTGTCTTTTCTTCCACTGGTATTGTTAAATATTTGGGCACCATTGTGTCCTCCTAGTTGTTGTGGTAGATGTTTAGGTCATTGTCATTTGATTCCTGACAGCCTTACTATCTTCCTCTTGCGTGAAGGCTGAGGAGGATCCAGGCCCAACTCCGTGTATAGGAATGCTAGCCTGAGGGCTTCCTGTGTGAGAGAAAAAAGACAGAGGGCAAATTTCTCAGTCTATACAACAGTCTCAGAAATAATGTTAGTGTTCTCAATGTGAGTAAAGTGTTGGGCTGAATTTAAAACAAAACTTAAACCCAAACCAGCCATAACATTATGACCACCTGGGCACGCTGGTGTTCATAATGTTATGCAGCCCCATATACAACAAACTGTGATGCACTGTGTGTTCTGAAAGTTTTTCAGCAGTTGTTGGAGCTGTTGGATCAGAACACACAGGCTAGCCTTTCGCTCCTCATGTGCATCAATGAGCCTTGGCCACCCATGATCCTGTCTCCGGTTCTTTTTCTTCCTTGGACCACTTTTGATAGGTACTGACCACTGCAGATGGGGAACACCCCACAAGAGCTGCAGTTTTGGAGATGCTCTGACCCGGTCGTCTAGCCATCACAATTTGGCCCTTGTCAAAGTCACTCAAATCCTCACAATGCTAACACATCAATTTTGAGGATAAAATGTTCACTTGCTGCCTAATATATCCCACCCACTGACAGGAGCCATGATAACCAGATAATCATTGTTATTCACTTCACCTGTTAGTGGTCATAATGTTATGGCTGATCGGTGTATATTAACACGGCAGTAGGGATAAAATGCCAGTAGATTGGCTCAGGAATGCTACTACACAAAAGTAGGTATAAAAAAGCAGGTGCTCCATGGACATATCATGACACCAAAAAAGAAGAGAGGTTAGACTTACTTTGCTTGATAATTGGCTATGATCATGAGTCATAGCCACAAAAAAAATCAAGGTACACTGCTTTGCAAAAATTAAAAAGCCTTTTAATAAATGGGGTTACCACCTATGTGTTTCAACTCAGTCTTCTTCAGGTCCCTGAAGAACGAGTTGAAACTTTTAAACATTTTAACATTTTAATTTGGTGAGTGTCTTTTTATGTAACCTTTGTTACACACGATATTTCACACTGGGACTTTAAAACAAATGGTCTTAACATGATTGTCACTTTTCAGCATGGCTGTGCAGTGGATTTAAGAACAGTTGACAATTGTCAACAAGCAAAAGTACTTATTGAGGATAAACTAATAAAACTGATTTGCCTTATTGTAGGTGTCTTTGGATGTGCACATTTAAAAAGCTTGACTTTCAAGTCAAAATTCAAAGTTTAAAGTTCAAAATTACTTTTTCAAAGTTACAAATCTCTTTAAGAGTAAGTGCATTACCTCCTCCAGCATCAGCTCAAAGTCTTCTGGTCCGAGGTGATTTGCTCCAGATTGGATATTCAGAACTATGTTTGGTGCTGGTTTACATTCTAAAAGAAATAGGAAGACAGAGAGACAGAGGTCAAAGGCAGAAGATCTATCTGAGAGGAAGTTTTAAACATTAGTGTTTAAAACTTCCTCTCAGATATTTATTTTATCTTATTGTGTGACCACTTTCTCTGCTCCCCTCTCTCTCTGTCCAGTTGCCCCAAATCTTCTCTCTCTCTTCTGACTGTCTTTACATTTATTTGTGCTCCCATCTGATATTGCCCTCCCTCTTCTCAAACCCCTCAATATTATCCCCCCTCCCCCGCATCTGTGGTACGGGCTGTTTCACAAGTGCGGTCTTGACCTTGACAGCTCCCAGTCTGTGGCGTCTAATCTCTTGCTCTGATACACTATCTCTTTACCATGCTAATGGGCCTGCCCACCCGCCTGTATGTGTCTATGCCATCAGCACTTTATCAAAGACTCCGGAGAACCGAGAGAGAGATTAGGGAGACATATACACACACATCCTGGTGTATGTGTATGAACAACAGAAAAGTGAGAGAGGGTGAAAGGGAGAGATAATGTGTGGATTTGAAACGAGAAGAGTGGAGGCAGTGCTAGAGAGAGAGGGGTGTGAAGAGGAGTACCACCAATGTGGTGAATGCTGATTATAAGTGAGAGGGAGAAAGAGCCTGTCTAAGGGGAAATGAGAGCAATTAGCTGACACACACACACACACACACACACACACACACACACACACACACACACACACACTCTATACTACAAGGTGACCTATGCTATACTTAAAACCCATCTCTTCTCTGTGGCCTTTGACACCTAGTAAGATGTCGACTTTATTTACTTGATTTATTTTTTTGTATTTGTTATTTTTACTTTTTGATTGCTTGTTATTACATGGTTATTATTTTTATTTATGTCTTTTCATTTTATTGTTGTATTATATGTTATTTTGCGCCTCATGTGAGCTGTTATATCTTTTATTTATGATGTCTTATTTATTCTCCTGTACAGCACTTTGGTCAACTTTGGTTGTTTTAAAGTGCTTAACAAATAAAGTTGGATTGGATTGGATTGGATACTTTGGTCATGAACTTCAAATGCTGTTCATCGTTTCTCCAGAGAGACAGCCATATGTCTGTTTATGCTGCCTTTCCAGACATGCACACTGACCCCAAACTATTGAAACCTCAAATGATAAAGAAATGATGCCTAAAAAAACATGGAACAAGTGGAAAATCTATGCTGTACTGCACACAGAGACATGTACACAAATATGCACATTTATACAATAGCATGCAAGGCCGCACACAAGCATTTACATTGGCAACAGGTGATGAAGCTGTTAGTGTAAGTGTGCATGTACCTGACTTTGGCTTCATGGTGATGTATGTATGAATGGCTTTCTTTAACTGCTCGGTGTATTTGAGGACACCTGCCAGAGGAACCCTGGTATCGCCGCTGTAGGCCGTCAGCAGAATTGATGGGTAGCACTAACAAACACACACAAACACACACACACACACACACACACACACACACACACACACACACACACACACACACACACACACACACACACACAGGTTAACCTAGAGTAGTTTTCATTATGGTGCTTAGCAAAAGTTATTAATTATTAATGGTACTTGGTGTCCCCCATTAAATCATTGGGATATGACATTAAACAAGCAGCGCTTCTGGTCCTGTGTTGGACAGATGTCAACCTTCTTGTTTTCAGAGAGAGCCTGAAAGCCACTAATAGAGTCAGTGCAATTCAAACACTGGCTCTGGCTCAAAATATGGGCCATGGGACTTTAAAATGGGTTTTCAACATGGTCTGAATTAACTGTCTGTTACCCACTAGAACCTACTAAATTACATTGTAGGGTTAATTAAAGTAGAACTACATGTTAACCTCATAATACAATCTTAATCACAGTAGAGATACCTGAAAAATCACATCGCAAAAAGTATCTCTCACTCAATGAAAACATTTAAAGTATGCAGCAAGCTGAATAAACATTAGTGCAAGTAGTAACAGATGAGGAAACACATTAACTAAAGCCACCTGAGGAGTAATGTTGTGAAGGGGACAGTAGGAGGAGATGGTGAGTCTGTGTTTTGGGTTTCCTACTGGGTCTCCCCATTCTTCTCTATCCTCCAAAGTTAGAGGCAGACTGGGATCCTCCATGGTTCCCAACACATCCAGGAAAGGAGCCTAAACACAGGAAAAGAGATGGCTTTGGATGTGTGTGTGCGTGCACATTTTAAATTATCTCTCATGGTGAGGTGGTGTGGTGCAATGAGTAGGGAGACTGTTCTTCAATTTGTATTTAACTGTTACATATTAACCTACTCAAATATTCTTGAGCAAGACACCCTAATATTCTAGTTCTTTAGACATAAAATAACACTAAAAGCTTCACACTCTAAGACACAAGTACACAAACACACAAATCTCCAATGATTTAACATCTCACTTGCAGTGTGACAGCCCGCATCATGTGTGGGTGTTTGTTGCACAGTGCTCCCACTGGCACAGCCCCAGCACTGCAGGCTGTAAGGGCAGTGAGTGAAGGAGAGGAGACTCCTAAAGAAAAAAGGTGACGGAGACAGGCTTGGAGGTCCTCCACTCCTTTCTGCTTCCCCTCCACACGAGCTTGTCTTTGCCAGGACAGACCACGCTCTCCTCCACCTCTAGGAGGTGGAAACGAAAGAACACAGATTAATTTCAACACTTAGGTTTGAATTCCAGACTTAACTAGCCATCACAGACATTTTCCAGCAATTTCCGGCTCCACAATATCGACTTGATTTGAGACGTTACCTGATGTGGCAGTAGGCCAGAGCCCAGCCCTGCTCCAACAGCAGCCTTTTCTCTGGGCAGAACTCCATGTTCAGATCTCTGCCATAAGCTCCGTAGACATGGACCAGTAGTGGCGCCTGTGTCAAACCCTCCACAGGTACCATATGAAACAGGGTTATTGGCACCAAGGTACCATCCTACAGAGGAAAGGCAGAGATACTGTTAGCTGATCTTAAAACCAGGTCTAAGAAATTTGTTTTGCAAATGTCGCCACAGTCACACTTTCCCTTCTATGTTTTAGGTGTATGTGTGCAGATGTATGTAGCGATGTCAGAGTGTGTACTACTAAAGTCTTCTGTGTCTGGTGGCTAGACACTTGAGTCTTCATACAAAATGCTTCCCTCCCTGCTGATACTGTTTCAGGGTGTGCATTCGTCTTATATGTCAAGTGTTCTCACTTGGTTGTAGGCCTCTAAGCGTGTGGTGGTATAGTTTCCCTGGTTCTCTGGGGAGGACCCATCTTTGGTGCCTGATAAAAGCAGCCCATCCTCGGGGTATAGACAGTAGGGCACCGGTGAATGTACTGGAGATGAGATCAAGAACTCGAACACCCTGCGTTGGTCGGCCATGTCTGGTTTCTTGGGATTTATGGCACAGGTCCAGGAGGGGAGCTTGGAAGTGTACAAATATAAGGTTATTAATACATAAAAGCAAGTGTATGTATATGTATACTTTATATATGGTGTATATCTTTATGTTGCTAAACGGAATATGTACTGGCTGTGAAAACTATAAAGCAAAATGGTAAAGAAGCAAGTAACATGATTGAAAGCAAACATGCCAGCAGGGAAGTAAGCAAGAGATGCGACAAGAACAGAAAAAAATATTCGAATAGATTTTTCTGTCACACAGACCTGTACAGTGTATGCTTCCTTGGGATGGGTCAGTGAGACCACGATCAGGACAAGTTCACTGGCTGGTGTTCTTGCAACCAATACACAGTGGTCTCTAACCACATCCATATCTTTGACTGCAGTGCCAGGGCCAGGGGTAAACAAGGTCACCCAGGAGACCATGGATGGCTCTGAGAGAGGGGCCTGCACCACCTAGTGAGTATACAGAAAGATAAATCTTCTTACTTGTGAAAATAAAAAAATATTTTTTTAAATTAAAACAGAAATATTTGTGTCTGAACATCTTTCTTTGTCCAAAAATAATCAAAATAAGTTATTAATAGGGATCAACTACTTCCAGTCAGAATAACATTTTAACCTCTGCATATATACAGTGTATTCCACATTGTCATCCTGCATGATCAACTAACCACCCAAACCTCAGCCTGAGCACAAAGCAGATATGGAACAGACACCCAAAGGTTACATGTGTGATGTATGGCAGACTATTTCTGTTTGTGTTATTCACCATATCTCCAGAAGACAAAACATATATGTATGTTTCTCTGGTGATAAGGTACAATTATAACTGTGAGCACTGTTTCCACATTTTGAATTTCTATGAAGTTCATGCACCCTATAAACAATGTGTGTTTACATATGTAAAGTACAAACAGTACCTGATATTCCTGCCCAGGCCCTGTATTAGCCAGTATAATCAGCCACCTTCTCCAGTGCTCCACATGGTACAGGAGGTCCTGTTGGCGTGGCTGAACCAGGAAAGGCTTTAAATGGGATGTTGTTGTATCAATTAGCAGCACCTCTGAAGTGGTCCTGCTGTTGCAGTTGATGGTCAGTATCTGTCGGTTTCTGGAAAGCACAACCTCCACAAAGACACTGGGGAGATGTTGGTGTTTTGATTAGAGATGGTGTAAGAGTAGAGACAGCTGAGATGTCACATTAGTAACACTTACTCAGGATGTGTTTCCTCATACACAGAGGTTATCCTGCTTCGATTGGAGGTCAGGTCCAGACGAAACACTCTGCTGCAGCGTAGACCCTCCAAAGTCGTGTAAAACAGGACCTCGTCTGTAGCCCACTCTTCACACATGCAGACAAACACAAAAACATCCTTTTATTTTAGCCAGTGCACTTTTGTCTCTACTGTTACAGAAATACATTTTTATCAGTGCAAACTATTTAAAATGTACCAAAGCTGAAGACTTTGTCCAGTGTGAATACGACGTGTGGGGGATCCAGAAAAGGGGAATTCATCTGTCCAAGCCTTACAACCACACACCTGGATTATCAAAGGACAAATATCCATGTATTAACTGTTACAGTTTTAAATTCAGCAGTTAAAAAAATCTTTGCTGCCGAACAAAGAAAATTTTGTGTTGTATTCTTTTCACCTCAGCTCTTCACTGTGATTAGTTTTTAGTGTGGCAGCAAGATGCTTTTCCTGTGGGGATAGGCGTATTCTCTGGACAGTCCACTGAAACCTCTGCTTCATCTCTTCATTATCAACTCCAGTCTTCTCCTCCTGTCCAGAGACTTGTCCTAGATTTAGCACCTGCTCTTGCTCACCTATAAACAAGGAGAGAAAACAAAAGTGGGAATGCCACTATAGTCTAATAATGGATTGCATAAAAGGCAAAGAAGAAGATGTACAAATAGGATTATATAAGAAAAAAGTACTGCAATTTATCTTTTGTAATCTCCTTTTTTGGTTTTCTTTAACATGTTTTTAAATTAAATGTCTGTGGATGAACTCCAGTATTGTAGCAATGCAATATCATCAAAGGCCACTGTCACGATTTCTGCTTACTCTGTCTCGTGTCCATTCTGTAGATACCATCACCTTCAACGAAATACACATGGTGATGTCCACAGACCTGTGCGAAGAGTAAAAATTATTTGAAATTGCACAAATGCTCAGAAACCCTCACCCTGTCTTCCTGACACCATAAGAGTGAATGTTGGTAAGTTCAATAAAGTAATATACAAAGTCTTTATGAAATGGTTCAGAGCAAAAGGAAGGCCTTACCGCTGAGTGATCAGGTATGTTGGAGAACTTGTAGTATTTAGCCTTCAGTCTCCTTTTAAAATACCTCTGCAATTCCTTATACCTCTCAAGATGATCAGCTGATGACTTTGAAGTGTCCTGAAATAAAACCACTTTACTACTTTACAATAACCTCCAATTCCCAGGGCCATTGCTGTTCCAATCACAATTCCTGCATCCTGTGCAAGAGTCACTGGGGCAATAGTACATACATTTAACCTCTGAATGAGAGGACTGTATTTTGTAAACAAACTGCTGTTATTTCAACAATGACAAAATAGATCTCTAATAACTAAATTAAACAATTACATTTTTGCAATATAAAAAGGGACCTTGCTAATTTCTCAGTCTAGGCAAATGTAGTTTAACACAGGAGTAAATGGTATGAGACTAATATGTTAAATGTAATTGTTAGCTCTAAATTCACCACAATGATAGCAAGAGTCCCAAATTATTCTCTGTCGACATTATGTGTCTTATGTTCATTCTCTAGATTGTAAGAAGACTACTGGCAGAGTGGTGTCATTACATACTTGGACTTACTTTGAGTCTTCAAATAATTATATTCCTATAATGCCTGAACTGTGGAAACACAAATGCCAACTTAATGCATTAAACTGGGTTAATATATCTGTATAGGTGTTTACGTGTTCATTCCCTGAAACCTATCCCCGTGTCAGTGCAGTGAGCCTCATCCAAGGAGCTCCATTTCAGCCCTGTGCCCTTATCAGTGGCTCCGTACAACACTAGTTTTGTCAGCCTGGTGAAGAGACACCGTTTTAAATAATGGATGACTTGGCGTTATCGACGAGATAACTTAACGGTCGGTAAACTTACACCGAGCCTAAGGTGAGTAAAAACAGCATAGTTAACGTGAACCGAACACCCTTACCGACGTGTAACAACGTTGGACGGACAGGGAGAGCCATGTTCTCCGTTTACAAACGACGAGCTCCCATAATCGTAACCGAGATGTTGTGACGACGAGACGAGCAGACGAACGCAGCAGAGACGAGAGAACGGCCATTACGAACGTTTAACGGCTAATCAGCTAGAGTAAGTTAACATATATTAGCTGTTTGGTTTTTAGCTGCCACTGCCAAGTACTGTCAGTCATCGCGACAGTGAACGCTTAGCTACACGTTTCCTAAAAGTAATAAGCACTGTAATTCAACCTGTAATATTTATTGTTTTTGTTATTTTAAAAACATCTGCCGTTGGTCGACCGTTGACAACAACGAGCGAATTCTATGCACGTGCATAAATTCCTAAACAAAACCCGCTGTGGATGACGTAGGTGCCACTGCCAGACTAAAGTAATCGAATTCAGACACGAGCGACCGCTTTGTAACTGAAAAATCGAAATCGATTGTTTCGACAATCCATTGTTGTGCCTCGAATGCGAGAAGTGTACGGAAGTAGCATGCGTCTATTGTGGATGTAACAGGTGATTACAGTCAAGCCATATCTGTGATCATTTCTGCCTCGGTATAGTTTATAGAAAGCCTTATTTTTGTATAACCACACTGCTATCGATAACTGTGACAGCTCTACAGCCAGTACATTTGTTTCTAGATTTATTTCCGCCCACAACTTCGAAGTTAAAATGGAGAGGGACTCCACCGGCACTGCAGAGAAGATCGAGCCGGCTTCGCCTTTGAGGAAACATATTAATGAAGACACCTGCGCAGCTGATTCCCATAACGTGAGCTCCCGGGATGGCCCCTGTGGTACTACTGATGTCGCAAAGGCCAGGTGGACTCTACTGAGACAGGTATTGTCAGCCTCAACCAGAAACACAAATCTCTCCCGGGTTTACACCATTTGTGCGAGCACGCTTTGAAAATGTGTCGAATATTCAAGATAAAATGTGTTGTTGACATCTCTAGAGTTTGTGTTTCAGTTATAATCTTTGTCCCTCATCATTGTAGAATAATTAGGGCGATGAGAACATGTTGTAACAGCCCTGTTTCCGCCTTAATTTTGGCTACAGAGCTATTGTTGACTAAACTTTGAAATACAATTATACTATGTAGCTCACATTGTATTTATTCCTAGCCCAAGCTGTGTGAACTGTGGAGGGAGGCAATGTTTCTGAAGCATTTCCCCAATGTCTAATTTGTATAGACGTCTTATAATCCAGCAGTTATGACATTATAGTATGTTTTATACCTGTGTCAGTCACAGTATGATTGCAGTCTCCTTTTCAGCAGTCTTGATTCATTAGTACTCTGATCTGCTTTGGCATTCAGTATAACTTCAATCTTTACTTTTATCTAATGTTATCAACAAGTAGTTTTATAACAATGTATTACTTCCAGCAGTTTGTCACCACTGTGAATCTCTTTCCTTTAGCTACAGAGTCTGGTTGCATGTGCAAGAAGCTTGTTAAAGCAGTAGCTGTAGAAGTAGGGCCTCTAGTTCTTCCCATAGATGGGCATTACACAGAGGTTGCCCTTGGCTGACAAGAAAAGCTCCCTGCAGTGGGGTGGGGGCCATCTTGCATTCTTAGTTCTTCCTCCTGGTGCTGTAATGACCTATATTTGTGTGGACTCCACTAGATAAATACAGCTGACGAGTGGTTCCCAGCCTTTTCCTTAAGGGCTTTTCTATTACTGAGTAAACTGACGATCTCTGACTAAGTGACATATTTTATGGAAATTACATATTATATCCAATGCATAATAATAACAGTACTGAATAACTGATGAACTGTACATTAAACCCATAGAGTGAATGCAAAAACTGCAGAAAGTTTGTTAATAATCTAAACCTCAGTTTCCTTTAGGATTCTTCACAGAAATGAATGCAATTCTGAGATATACTGTATATTTAAAAAATAAGTTTCAAAAAAAGCCTCATGACCCCCCTGTGAAGCTTTGGCGACCCCCAGGGGGTTGGGACCCTGAAGTTGGAAACCAGTGCAGTAGACAGATATATAGCTAAAATGTAACTGTTAACAGGTCACAGTTAAGGAAAAAAAAGATGCAAATGTATTTTGTACATTATGTTTAACTACAGGGCAGTTTTAGTCACAACTACACAGTTAAGTTATTAAGTTAAATTTATTCAACTTTCAGTTAAAGAAAACATGTCATTGTTATTGAAATGTAGGACTTTTTAATGTTACATCAAGTGAAGACCAAAACATGTCCATTCAAAATGAGAAAGGTAAAATTTGTTGACAATGTCTTTCACCTCCTGCATATTACAGTCCTTCCACAGGACCTGTTGTCTGTTTGACTGAAACCCTCACACTTCCAAAACTAGAAAACATGACTGATTCATTCTGCAGATGCTGAGACTTTACAGCGGATGAGAAGATTTAGCAGTTAAATGTGCTCTTTTGTGGAAATTAAAATTCATTAACTCCCCTTTTTTTTCACTCCTGACTCTCACAGGTGTTACGTCAGAAGCAGATGGAAAGTCCAGAGGTCAAACAGGTGTCTGTTCGCAGGTTTGCTACGTTTGACCTTTTCAGCAGGAAAAGGCTTTTGACACAAGACCCTGGTGATACCTCAGATGAGCAGTGGGTGGAGTACAGAAGTGTCTACTTTCCTGAGTACAGTGCCTTACTCAGGTACACACACTTGAATTGACGCACACAAGGCTCCAGTTTCATGCTGGCACAGATAAAGCACAGTGACAGTGCACCACACAAAGGGACATTTCATGGTACCAGTTGGGTAAAAGTATTGAACATGTTCCGATTATATAGTGTCATGCTTAGCACTGCATAATATGGTAAAAACATAATTTTACGATTATGTTTTTCAGATTTGCAAGATTATTCATGATTACTGTGGGAATGATCACAAATTAAATTTCCACTGAAAACACTATTGAAATCATGACGATGTGAAGTTTTTGGGGTCTGTACCAGAAATCTGGAGAACAAGATCTGTAGGCCAGTGCATCTCTGCAGCACTACAGCACTTCATTACAATGCTGTTTTATCACACATTTGGCCTTTATCAAAAGGTTACAGCTCCTGCTATTTGCATATTGCTTTTGCAGTTTGCATGTTACACTTGGTCATATTTTGATAATATTTTGATTAATTGTGCAGTCCTAGTCATGCTGCCTTTATCATCAAGGGTGATGGATTACCTAAAAGTATAAAATCTGTGATTTGTTGTGAATCTAGAACAAAGTAAAAAAAAGTTTAAAATAGTAATTAAGATCTTGATTCACTGTCTGTATGAAAAAAGCACAATATAGTTTTCTCCCACACTGCTGTATAATCCTTTTATATGTTTGTGTCTCTCAGGGATAACCTGGGGCCTCTTAGGGTTAATGAAGTGCTCAACAGTTTCGACAACACCGGTAATGTCTGTAAGTACATACTTTATCTTACTACTTGAAAGTGTTGTATTTATGTTCACAGAGTTTGTTTACCTGCACTACTCCCTGGCCTTTATCCCATCCTGACACACACACACACACACACACACACACACACACACACACACACACACACACACACACACACACACACACACACACACACACACACTACAACTTTGGGTTAGCCTCATGCTGTGTGCTGTTAGTGTTTGATTGATGGTTTGATGGAGGTGGTTTGATTCCATCTCTTTGAATGGGAGTATGTCTCTTGTGTGGCTTCTACAGCGGTTTATCATGTACTTATTCCTCCCAACTACCTTCAAATGTCCTTTAGAAGGAAAGTGGGTTGCAGTCTTCTTATTGCTTCAGTCGACAGTGATGAGTGGTTTGGGAGAAAGGAAAGAGCATGACTCAAACAGGGATTTGCACAGGCTCTATGATATGGAGTGGAATAGCATCACCTGAAACACAAGAGCCTTGATTTCACCTTCATTCTGTGAACGTTTTGTAAACCATTTAGCTTGAATGAGTTTACTTCTGGTTGAGTTGAATTCACTTTT